TTGGCCGAATATTGGTATAGCACATTGTACCACTTAGCTTCTCAGATGACCCCTTTCAAAGTCTTGTACGGAAGAGACCCTCCACACTTGGTACATTTTGGGTAGGGGAGCACACCAATCTCCTTAATATAGCAATATTTGTAGGAAAGGGATAGGGTGTTAGAGGAATTGAAGAAACACCTGCTGAGGGAACAATATATTAGGAAGAAGTAAGTTGATGGACATCGGAAGGACATTCAGTTCCAAGTGCGGGATAAGGTGTTTTTAAAACTAAGACCTTACAGACAAAGGAAAGTGGCTAACATGAGGAATGAGAAAATAGATCCCAGGCATTTTGGGCCATATGAGATAGTGAAAAAGATTGGAGTAGTGATTTATCGCCTAATGTTACCCCCAACTGCTAGTATACATCAAGTGTTTCATGTATCCCAATTGAGGAGGGCTATAGAGAAGCATGCAACTAGTTCGGCATTATCGGCGACACTAATTGAGGATTTGGAGGTGGTGTTGGAGCCCTTGGAGCTTAAGGGGGTACGATAAGGTGAGGTAAGGGATAAGGAAGTGTTGATTAAATGGATGAACCTTCCAGATTAAGACACCACTTTGAAGCCATATGAAAGATGGGTCTTACCCAATTCCCATCATTTCACCTTTGGGAGGGGGGTATTATTAAACCAGCTTTTGATGAGCCGGATGAACTGGTCCCACCTGGACCGGGTTCCAATCTATTCCAAGTGGAATAGACCCGCCTGAGGGGGGGGAGACAAGGGTTGGGCCTTCTTAATGGGGGTATTATGGCTTTAATTAAGGGCTTTGGAGGGAAAATTCAAATTCTAGGGGCAGTTTAGGGAATTGTTATTTGCTTTTGCCTTAAGTAGTCTTTTTTGTTCTAGGGTTAAGGATTATGATGATTTTTGCTGAATTTGGTGTTTTCTCTATTTTTGCTTGGGCTCTAATCTACAACTAGAGATTGGGAGAGCAAGATCTTCCTCTTCGATTGAAGATCAAACTGTATCTTGCTAGTTTCTTTCATCACTATCAAATTGCAAGCTTTCTTTCCATTATTTCTCTTTTTTCTCTAAAAAAACCTACTGGAAAGAGTGCTGGTTTTGTTGATTTCTGTAGCACAAATCCCGTAATTTCATTTATTTCCTATCACATTACTATCTATAATGCAAAAATAATGTCTAAATACATTCCAGTATGCTTATCAAAGCTTTGTAAGAGCCAAAGCAAAGTATGAAGCATTCTTCAAAAAGCAAAACATGAAGGAGGCTTGATAACCCCAAAACTCCTCTGTAATTACCTTAATGATGATCTCCTCATGAGGACGACTGAACATAACTGGATCATCAATGTCAAAACGGAAAATAAAACTTTTCAAACAAACTGAACTTGCTCGACCAAGGCACTTCTATCAATCTCACGAGTGCTAAAAACTCTAATGATCTTTCTTAACATTCAATATCTTAGCAAAGATAAAGTGTTCCTCCCAAATTTCAAGGAAAAGGGGAAAAGAACTTTAGGATGCCTTCTATACCCCTCCGCTTTGGGAAGCTCTACAAAAAGGCACAACTCCATATGGTTGACTCAATTACTTCTTTCGAAGTACTCTTCCAAATATTGTGGCTCCAAGAGTATGGTAGCATGACCTCAATTCTCCATTAATGTGTGAAATACACTCAAAATAAACAGGAACATAGAATCAATGGTGATAAGCAACCATTAATGGTACATGAGGCGAAAATATACAACAATAAACATTTCATCATTAACAAACGTATTGAAATGCAATTAAAGGCTATAATCTCAAAGATAAGGGGAAAGAATATGCCTAAGATAGTTCATTTTAAAAAAATTTCTTTTGTAAAGTAGAAGAAAATGCCTCATAGTGACAAAAGACACAACAACAACAACAACATCAAGCCTTTAGCCCATTACGTGGGATCTTGGTTACATGAATACTTTTGCTCCATTGTGTCCTGTTAAGAGTCAAATTCTCATTTAAATTTAGTAAAGAAATGCCATTTTTAATATTTTCTAATCAAGTTTTTTTAAGTCTATCTCTACCTTTCTTAACATAAGCCAAATATAATACATCTACTCTCCTAACTGGTCATCTGAAGGCCACTGTTTTATGTGATCAAATCATCTAAGGTGACTCTCTCTAATCTTTTCTCCCATTGGAGCCACTCCAACCTTTCCACGTATATGCTCGTTTTGTATCATGTTTCTAAGAGTAAAGTCACTCATCCACCTGAACATCCTCATCTTTGCAACACTTAACTTAATATTATGCTTCTCTTTTAATGGTCAAGATTCTGTACCATAAAGCATTGCAGGTCACACCACCATTTTATAGAATTTTCCCTTCACTTCATAGCTTTTAAAATCGGACCGGACCGGCCGGTTCAACCGGTTGAACAGCGAACCGGCCGACCGGCCGGTTACGGTTCAAATGAAAACTTGTTTTGCAGAAAACCGGGATAAACCAGTTCGAACCGGCGGTTCGACCGCTGAACCGGTCCCTGTTTTTTATAACCGGCCGGAAAGCTTATACGCGGAGAGGAAAAAAAACGCGTCGACGTCTGCTCAACTCTTCGGCTTCGAGCTTCAACGGAGGGGGAAAAAAACTCATCTGAAGCCTTCACTTCTTCCCCGACGGCGTGCAAAGCTAACAGCGTCAACGCCATGGCTACACCAATCCGTCTGTTACTGCAAGGGAGGCAGTAGAACCCTAGACCGATTCCAACCTCTGTAGAAGAAATCAATGGGAAAGCAGTGGCCTTTAAGTGTGCTCGGTTGCGGATTTAAGTTAAAATGGCGCGAAACAGCTTTCGAGCTGGTGCCGAACGGAATGATTAGGTTTTGTGAGGAAGAGGGAATGCGAATGTGAGACTCGTGAGCTAAATGATGCCCATTTCACTTAACCGATCTATTATTTTTATCTTTTTCCCTTCGATCTCTGTGTTTCTTCGGTTATTTACTTATTTTTATCTCTCTTTTCTTCTGCTATTTATATGGCCATATGGGGGAATGAGAAAGGTATCTGAAGGTGGATGAAGCCCGACCGAGAGTTCTACCTGTTTGAGAATTTTTGCAGTAAGTTGAAAAAGAAAGCTTTGCTTGCTGTTTTCTACCATGTAGTTTTTTATCTGACATAGTTTTCTACCTTGCATTTTTTATGTTGTAGTTTTTTACCTTGGGTTTTAATTTGTGTATATGATTTTATTATAATATTTAAATATAATAAATATTTATTACGTCATCCGGTTCAACCCCGATTCGACCCCGGTCGAACCATCAAACCGCTAACCTCTCCTTCCAGTTCATTGACCGATCCAGTTTTCAAAGCCTTGCTTCACTTTGAGGGAGGCTTTTCTATCACATAATAAGCCCAATGCATTTGTCTACTTCAACCACCCAACTTGAACTATGCTAATAATATCCCCATCTATTTCACTATCACTCTGAACAATAGACCCAAGATATCTAAAATGTGTACTCTTATTAATAACTTGATCGCCAAAAGCCACAATCCCCCACTAGATCTATTACTACAAAAAGTACACTCCATACATTCAATTTTAGATATACTCAAATGAAAACCTTTAGACTCTATGGTTGACCTTCATAATTCAAATTTACCTTCAACTCCCTCTCTAGTCTTATCAACAAGAGGAATATCATAAGCAAAAAGGACCAAGGTACAACCTCTTGCAAATGTCTAGTGAGAACATCCATGATTAAAGCAAAAAGATATGGGATTAAGGCTGATCCTTGATGTAATCCAACTAAAATAGAAAAATACTTGGTCAAACCACCTTGTGTTTGAACACAACTAACAACTCCTGCAAACATATCCTTCATAACTTGAATATAAGCATTATTAACCTTTTTTTCTTTTCTAGAACTCTCCATAGTAGATATTTATAGGAGTTTTAAGAATTGAATGGGACAACTTTTGAATTCAAATTTTGAAAATGAATCCTAATTTTACAAAATCGGGATAAGGCAAAAAAAATTAGGAAATGCAACAGTGAATTCAAATTGAAAGTTTTGATTAACTTTTTGAACTTCTAATTTTGATTCACTAGGAAGATTTTTAATGATGAAGTTAATTAGGCTGTTGTATATTTGATTTGGAGGTGTATCTGAATGGCAGGTGGGACTTTTGGCTTGATCATGAACATAGGAATTTATGAATTTTGTGCTTGTGGTGGTAGTTGTATAGCAATAGTAGTGCTAGCAGAATTTTATGGCTTAAAATTGTAGTGGTGTTGGTAGTGACAGTTGTAGGATCATGTTCTTTGTTTAACAACAACAAAGATAAGAGAATGATGTAGGGGTTGAAGAGAAGATCCAAACAACTCTATTCATTCAGGATAATCTGCTATGAATGATTAATTTGTGAAGTGGGTTTGAAGGCAATGTAGAAGAATTATAGATAGAAAAGAAAGATGAGAACAAGATCATGAAAACAACCAAGGATCAACATAAATAGCTATCTCACTTCTCTTTAAAACAATAAAGAAAAGCATATGCATTACACAAACTAGGAAAAGGAAACACATCATAGGGATGGATGAATCTCTCTAGGAGGTGAACATTTGCATATATTCAATTCATTAAGTCATAAAGAAGCTATATAATAATTTCATGATTTGAAAAATGACATATCACCTCCCTCCATCTTTCTGAAGCCAACATACCGAGGTTGCACATAAACAAAAATCGTCCAAGTTGGATTTCTCCGGCCCTCTCCCTCAACCCAACATATGTAAGTTGTACATAAAGCTAAGTAGTCCAGGCTAGATTTCCCTAGTCACTCCCTCTGTCACCAAACAAAAACTCTTATAGCTGCCGCACAACACAACTAATCTCCCTACTCTCTATTATGACCACGCATGCATGTAATTCAAGCGCATCAATCCCGCTTTTTAATTCATCATCTTAGCTGAAAAGTAAAAACACAAAAAATGAAATAGGAAATAACTCACATCTAAATGAGGCCCGCGGCTTGACCGATTCCTTGGCCGCAGCATCTTCGCAATCTGCGAAGCCGCAGTCCTCCTCTTAGACTTGTTCTTCTTCCGCATCAGCGGATTGTAATATAAATAAGTCCCGTGCCTATACATCGTTCGCCGCTGCCGCAGCCGATCGCTCGTCCTCAATGGCCCGATCACCGCCCCATCCCGCTTCGAATCCATCAAACTCTAGCTATCACAACGAATACCTGAGCTGATTAAAACCCCTGAAGCCAAAAACATAAAACCCTAAACCGATTGAGATTCGACGCCCTACCGTTCAGAAGCAGACACCACTCCTCTATTCCAACGGTCGAACGAGACGTCTTCCGCACGAAAAGTCTCCTAAAACAAGAACAAAAAAGCACCGTGAGCTTGAGATTGCGGCAAACGCGAGGCATGTAAGACAAAATCAAGGAAATGCGCGGGAAACAGAAACCCAAACCCTAGAAATCTGCCATTAGCGAGTTCGCCAGAAATCCACTCCAACAGAACGAAAATATGGCATCGAGAGAACAGAAGCGCGGACGAGAAAAGAGAGAGAGAAACCAATCGGGAGCAGCGCGAGCTCTCCTTAGAAGAAGCGACGGAAATTGCCCGAGAGAAACCCTTCCCCGGATCACGTGACCATCCATCTATTCTATGTAGTGAGATCAAACGGTCAGAATTTTTTTCATTGATTTTGATAAAATTAGTTCCCTATCGGACGGCTGTAATTGATTCGGAGTACTTGAGTATCGTGGGATTTTGGTTGCCCGTTTCGACCGTTGAAGAGTTTTGGGAGTGAAAGATGTATGTAGAACATCTTTTTGTCATTTTAACTTACTCTCTCTCTCTTAACAGCTTTTTAAAATTGGCGGAAAATCCATTTTGCCTATTAGTGAGAGCTTGAAGTGGGGTCCACTTTATGTTGGGCTAAGTGTTGGTCATATATTATTTAGAATGTATTTAAAAAAGTTTGATAAAATTTAAAAAATTTCTAATATTTGAACTTTATTATTATTTTAGATGGTTGGTGTATATTTAAAACTAATTTATTTTAAAGAAACTCAATTGATAAATAATTTTTATTTAAAAATGAGAAAATAACGCCATGGCCAGAAAATAAAAATAAAAAGCGGAAATAGCCATTCCACGCCTAGGATAAGTAAAAATCATCTCAAAGTAGTTTGACTAATTATAATTCGATCATTTTCAGGAAAAAAAATTATTATTAGAAATTATGATTATATTGTTAACATAATTATTTATCTCATATTATGATTAAAACATAACATAGTTCTTCAGTTGTGAGCCATAGTTGATAGTTTATGTAAAATATGAAGAAATGAAGAGTGATGCCATAAGATTATGATTTCGTTTGGGACGTCATTCTTACTGCTTTTTAAAGTAGATTTATACAAAAATTAAATTTTTTATACTAAAAAGTTGCTTTAAGAAGTGGAAATAAAGTCGTTCCAAATGAAGCCTATATATTAGAGATTCAAATAAATTATTATTAGTTGTTGTAATTGTTGCGTCTAGAATATTCATGGTGATAAAAGAGATAAATAACTTAATATATTAGCTTTGAACGAAGATCCAACACATATACAAATTACAGAGAAAGGGGTGAGAGAATCAGAAGAGACACCAAGATTTTTATGTAGAAAATTCTAATAATGATAAAAATCACGGGATCTAACCTAGTTAAAATGAATACACTAGTGCTTCTTGTTGATTACAAAAAATGTCATTTCCTTGGAGAAGGCGTTAGCTCAATGTACATCATATAGAGCATATTACATGATGAGAGTTGAAAGAATCTAGTGATATAAGAGTTTTTTTTTTTTTTTTTTTTTTTTTTTTTTTTTTTTTTTTTGATACAAAAGTTATTTTCAAGAGAATGTGATCATGTCCGTTTGGCCTGTAGGATCGTAATCGGCCATCGATGGTCTGAGGGACCATAGTTGGTCATCGGTGGTCAAATGGACCATAGTTGGCGGGTGATGGAGATCATCAGAGAGACCATAGTCAACTAGCAACGGATGTTGGAGGGATTTTAGTCGACGAGCGACGGTGGTCAGAGAGACAATAGTCAGCGAGTGACTATGGTCGAAGGGACCGTAGTCGACGGGCAACGGAGGTCGAATGGACCATAGTCGTCAGGCAATGATGGTTGGAGGGACCGTAGTTGGTAGGAAACTAAGGTCCAATAAAGTATGCTCGCCGGGCGATGCTCCGGTGGCAATCGATCGACAGGAGTTATCTTTAACCTCCAGCCAAAGGTCCTTTTTTATGAAGAGTGCATGGGCCTATTTATAAATTTTTGTTAGCGGCATGCTCCATAAATATGGAGAAGATCCATGGCAAAATTGAAGCGGTCAATCAAACGGCTAATATTGATTGCCTCAATCATAGAGCATTCATCAAGCATTTAATTGCCTTCATGGTGTCAGAATTATGCATTTTTGGCTCATTGGATTCGTCTCGTCGAGCCACTTGATTCGACTATAAGCATACTATATTTTAATATCATTTAAAAGTTATGTTCAAGAGAATGTGATCATGTCCGTTTGGCCTGTAGGATCGTAATCGGCCATCGATGGTCTGAGGGACCATAGTTGGTCATCGGTGGTCAAATGGACCATAGTTGGCGGGTGATGGAGATCAGAGAGACCATAGTCAACTAGCAACGGATGTTGGAGGGATTGTAGTCGACGAGCGACGGTGGTCAGAGGGACAATAGTCAGCGAGTGACTATGGTCGAAGGGACCATAGTCGACGGGCAACGGAGGTCGAATGGACCATAGTCGTCAGGCAATGATGGTTGGAGGGACCGTAGTTGGCAGGCAACTAAGGCGCGGTCCAATAAAGTATGCTCGCCGGGCGATGCTCCGGTGGCAATCGGTCGACAGGAGTTCTCTTTAACCTCCAGCCAAAGTTCCTTTTTATGAAGAGTGCATGGGCCTATTTATAAATTTTTGTTAGCGGCATGCTCCATAAATATGGAGAAGATCCATGGCAAAATTGAAGCGGTCAATCAAATGGCTAATATTGATTGCCTCAATCATAGAGCTGATTCCCTCAATCATAGAGCATTCATCAAGCATTTAATTGCCTTCATGGTGTCAGAATTATGCATTTTTGGCTCATTGGATTCGTCTCGTCGAGCCACTTGATTCGACTATAAGCATACTATATTTTAATATCATTTTGTCATCTAATTTATATTTTGACCTTTCCAAATGTGCTTTCGAACCCCTGATTTGGACCCAGGGTTGGATTGAACCGATTTTGATGATGTTGGGTTCGTCTCTTTGAAACATCCAGTTTGACTATAAGCTTGCTGAAATTGGAGTTTGATTGACCCGAATTTAATTTTGAAAGTTTCTAATTTAGATATGCATCAAGATTCATGCCCGATTAATGTGATTTTTTGGAACATATCAGTAATAAATTATTATTATTATTCTAAATAAAGAAAAGCAAGAAGGGAAGGTCTCAATTTAGCATAAAAATAAATAAAAGTTATAAAGCTTCGCTAAGATGAATATAAAGTAGTTAAATCAATTATTGAATATAGACTATATAGTTAAGCTGCAAGAAATAAATGAAATGTGGAAAAATAAAAATAATTGATTTAAATAATGGACTTTGAGAAAGGAAGAATATTTTTCATGGAATTTATCTAGTTTCAAATGTTTAAGAAAGAAGCTAAAATTAATTAAATTTAATCAAAAATTAATTAATTTAACCTTGAGTTAACCAAATATAAATGACTTTTGAATAACTAAAATTTTGGGCTATATCATGTAATGAGCTAAATTTGTAAATAATGTTGAAGCTCTTCAATATATATATATATATATATATATATA